AATCCTGACCATACGTCGAACGGTTTAGATTTGTGCCGCAATTCTGCATTTCCTCCCTAGCTATACCTTAAGTTAAGGAGGGAATGTTCCCCCTTCTTTTACACCTCTTGACCTTTGACCTTTGACCTCCAGCTTTGACATCCCAACTCGTTTTCGGATTACCCCCCCACGTCCCGAAAATCCTGACCATACGTCGAACGGTTTAGATTTGTGCCGCAATTCTGCATTTCCTCCCTATACCTTAAGTTAAGGAGGGAATGTTCCCCCTTCTTTTACACCTCTTGACCTTTGACCTTTGACCTCCAGCTTTGACATCCCAACTCGTTTTCGGATTACCCCCCCACGTCCCGAATATCGTGACCGTACGTCGAGCGGTTAAGATTTGTGCCCAACTGTTAACGGACGGACGGCCGGACGCACGGACGATCATGCGATTCTACAAGCTGCATCTGACTACGTCAGATGAGCTAAACATGAAATCAGATTCACAGATATGCACAGACAAGTACACTGCAGACGCATTGTCTGGTTTGCTTCATACAATGTACATACATATCACATTTATGATCAACATCGGCTACGCTTACGCTTGCGCTTGCAAATATGCTCAACAACCACTATCCCGATTTAGATGATATTTTTTTACTATCCTGGCGGGATACCAATCATTGAAATCTGGTATCCAACACAAGAATCTACTATCCCGCAGATATCGGGATACCGCTAATTTCGACCCCTGGGGGGGGGGGGTTGCAGTCGTATTCTGGATATCTGTGGTGCGGGGATGACAATGGAAGTCTGCAGACAGGGATATGAGCTGTGCTGGCACTTTGCATTAGGTAGTGTCGCGAGTGTATGATTCGAGACATAGTGGATTGCAATTTATTCTCAGACCTACTTGCCTCCACAGTCAGTGGTTAAACTAATGTGTTTCACAAATGCTTAGCATAATAAATTAATACAAGACAGTTGGAAAAGCTATGCAGGGTTTGACACTAACCCACGTCCGACCGACCTAGTCGGGTAAATGCTTGGTCCGGTCGCATACAACCAGAATGCTAGTAGCCCGACTGGTCGTGTTAGAATTGGTCATATATATTGCACTGAAAGGTCACCTCTGGGTAGACTGGTTCGCGGCCGCACTGTTTGTCGCAGAGCGTGTACATTGTCTAGCAGAGCGTGAGGCCGGATACCAGTCTACACTTCGGCAAAAACAATAAAATCGAATCGGATTGCGATTCTCTTCCCTCGATCCGATCCTCGATATTTTTCCCCGTATTTTCGATTCCACTTCGATACCACTTTTTTCCTACAATAGATGGCGGCACTACGTACAGTGAAAAAAATACACGGGGGGGCTCGGGGCGATTTAGCCCCCGAAATGCCAAAAAGAGCCTCCGTAAATTTGCATAGAGTTCAATGCAAACCAAATTTTAGAATGCTATTTTCATGCATTTATGCGTTTAAGTGTCTTAAGATTAAAGATGGAAGCTCCCAACATACGTAGTAGCAACAACTATTTGCAAGACAGAATAGGTAAGCACTCATCCATTTCAGGAGTAGATAATAGGGAAGGAGTGTGACATCAATAAACAAGGGAAATTCGTCATTTACTAGCCTTAAAATACCTATGATTTACTATGCGTAACTCATCCAACTGGAGCTCAAATCATACACAGTACATTTGCCTAGCATCGTGCGAAATTGTTTCCTCGTATATACACTTGTAAGCAATCTGGAGATACAGACTAAAACATACGACACGATTATCCATTCTTTGACCATCAATCCGAGCCGATTGCCCGCCTATATTCAAACAAAAGGCAGCTACTAACGCGCTATTGCTAACTCGGCGAGGCATGTGGTTCACTGGGAGATTAGGCATCAACGCAACACTCGGCGAGATAACCTTTGACCCGGTACACAGCTGCATATCGGCATATGCCCCCATGCACGCACGCCAACCGCAATCAGCAGCAGATCGGGCTCAAATCTCCCAGCGAGCCACATTGCCCGCCGAGTTAGCAATAGCGCGTTAGTAGCTGCCTTTTGTTTGAATATAGGCGGGCAATCGGCTCGGATTGATGGCCAAAGAATGGATAATCGTGTCGTACGTTTTAGTCTGTATCCCTGGATTGCTTCTGTATACGAGAAAATGATTTTGCACGATGCTAGGCGAATGTACTGTGTACGATTTGAGCTCAAGTTGGATGAGTTAGGCGTAGTAAATTGTAGGTATTATAAGGCTAGTAAATGACGAATTTCCCTTGTTTATTGATGTCACACTCCTTCCCTATTATCTACTCCTGATCCATTTACCTACGCAAGCCTACAGGCTGAAATAGAGAGCTGCCACCTGTAACTAATTGACGCAGGCAAAAACTACA